ACATTCCCTGTGTTGCACATTTGCAGCGTGGGGGCAAAATAAGACCCCTGGATATACAGGAGTCAAAAAAACCCACAGCGAAAAACATCAGGGTAGGGCATGGTTCAGGATTGTGCCCTGAGGCAACTGGAGGCTGAGTCCTCCACAAAGACGCTCTGGTAGCAGCCAGAGTGTCTCCTTGGTTGGTCCTCGCCCTGGTGCTGCAGCACACTGCCTGCCCATGCAGGACAGGCAGCGTGCCAGCTGCAGGGAGCTGGACCCAGGCTCCACTGCAGGTAAGTAAGGGGTGGGTGGAAGAGGGGGGAGAGGACCATGGGGGGGACCCCTGCCTGCTCCCCGAACACCCCCATCCCTGTCCCATCCCCTGCCTGCCCCCTGAGTCCCCCATCCCTGCCCTGTCCCAGCTCAAATTTGCACTGCTTCTATGCAAGTACATGCACTTGCAACAGCTCAAATAGAAGTGGTGCAAATTTAAGCCAGGGCTTTTTGCCTCGGCGTGTGCCTGGACATGCACTTTGGTGTGGGGCAAATTGTGCCACTTGGGGCAAAATATCCCTGCAGCCAGCCTGGGTTTATCTTCTGAATGTTTGCATGCTTACCAGTGCTAATATTATGTGGTACCCTGCATTACCTGTGAAAGGATCTCAAGGCACCCTAGTGTGCTATGGCACCGTGATTGAAAATCACTGTTCTACAGCATTGTGTAAGAAGGAATTATGTTCCAGATAGGGACAGTATGAAATGTATTCAGTTATGTGACTGGCTTAACTTTAAATTGTCCTGAAAGGAGTTGCTGTCACTGTCTTAGTTCCACTGGCCACAGTCACCTCCAGTGGGGTGACTGAGACTGTGCTTATGGGCTGCAGAGTTCTATGCAAGAATTCACAAATTTGGGGAAAAAAACCTGTATATTAAAACTCAAAAATTGGGCTCTTGGGTAATTTCTTTCTTAAACACATGGAAGAGTGGCCCAAGTAGTTACTGACAACATATATAATTTCATAGTTTCTAGGGTCGGAAGGGACCTGAGAAGATCATCTAGTTCGACCCCCTGCCATGGCAGGAAAGAGTACTGGGGTCAAACGACCCCAGCAAGGTGTTCATCTAACCTCTTCTTAAAAACCCCCAGGGTAGGAGCCTGCACCACCTCCCTTGGAAGTTGGTTCCAGACCCTAGCCGCCCTGACCGTGAAATAGCGCCTTCTGATGTCTAACCTAAATCTACCCTCTGCTAGCTTGTGACCGTTGTTCCTGGTCACTCCTGGCTGTGCTCGGGGGAACAGTGACTCCCCCAATGCCTTCTGATCCCCCCTGACCAGTTTGTAACAGGCCACAAGATCCCCCCTCAGCCTTCT